ATGTAAATGTCTTTGGAGCGTCTGTGGGCCGTGGGCACCCTTCCAATCCTGCTGTGGGTACATCCCACCTGGTGGTGGAAACTCAGTGTCCCACCTGAGACAGGGACGGCCACCGTGCTCTTTGTCCTCCCCGAGACACCACATGCAGAATCAGAGCCTTGGTTTCAGGTTTGGACTCTGCCACGGATAAGCTGCCTCATTCCTTCATTCACTCTCGTGACAAGTGGCTGTTGAGCGTGGACCATGTCCCCGGGCGGCATCAGGTGCCGAGGAGTCTAAGCCGGTAAACGGGACACCACGCACAGAACACAGCTACGCACTGTGGCACGTGGCACGAGCTCTTTGGGAGCCCTTCCATCTTCTCAGGGGGGCGTGGCTCCTGGAGGGTCCCCGAGGGACACAGAGGCCAGACCCCCAGAGCTAGTGGGGAGAAAGGCCAGAGCGATGGGTGCGGGCTGGCTCCGGAAGGGGCGCTGGGAGAGCCGGTCAGGGCTGGCTTGGGCTGGGCCGTCGACCCTCCTCCCCCCTGGCAGGGCGGTCTGCACCCCTTGCCCATGATAACGGACTTGGCTGCTTTGAAAAATGCAACGACGTGCCAAGTCTGGCCTGATGGTGGCCTCAGGAGAGGAGCTGTGAAGCCCCAGCTGTGTACTGGGTGGTTGGGATTTAAGATGCTGGAAAGAGGCAGCAGGTCCCAGGCCAGGTGAGCGTGACCGGGGAGGGAGCTCGTTCTGAACAGTCTGCAGATGGCGCTTGCAGGCTGCTCCGACCCCAGCCCGTCCGCCATGCCTGTTTGTTTACATATCCCCTGTAAACACTGTTCTTGATGTTCTTCCTTCTTTGTTCGCTCAACATGGCAACAGCGTTGAGTAGTTGCAGCAGGGACCTTACGGCCAGTGGAGCCTAATACATTTGCTACAGAGCCTTTTACAGAAAATGTTTGCGACCCCACCTAGCAGGGCCTGCAAGAGCTGCAGCCTAAGGGTCCTAGACAGGCTGGGGCTAGACGGGGGGGTGGGCGTGGGTAGGGGGCTGGGATTCACTGAGACGTGCCCACAGGGGGCCGCACCCACGGAGGACCCACCCTCCCAGGGTGGGGGAGGGGGCCCACATTCGCGGTCCCCTGAGCATCAGGGTGGCGCTGGGCAGTCTGTGTTTTACAGGGAGGGGGGGCCCTGCCCCTGCTTCCAGAAATGCCAGGGGCCAAGCGCCCTTCACCCCTGCCTGGGCTGTCCCAGCCGCCCACCCTCTCTCTCCCGGGTCCTGGCAGGAGGTGGACAGAGGCTGTGCCCAGGAGGGGCCCAGGGGGGTCTTGCTTGTGGGGCAGGCCTGGGTGTCTCCTCTCTATTCCTGGTCCTCTGCCCAGGCCCTCGGGGGCCATCCTCCTGCTGGGTGGCTTGAGTCACTCCCTCCCCAGGCCTGGGATTACCTGCTGTCTCCACAGAGAAGAACCTGTCCTGCCGGCAGGGCCTGCCTTTGTCCCAGAACTGGTGCTTTGCGCCTTTGCTCCCGCCCTGGCGGCTGTGAGTGGGGTGGGCCCTCGGCTGGGAGAGAGCGAGTGGGGCAGAGAACAACCGGATGAGCTGGGCTGTGCTCCTCTTTCACTCACTCAGCCTCCAACCTCGGGCCCGGTACTCATTTATTGAGCACCTACTGTGTGCCAGCAATGGGCTGGGTGTTGGGGATTCGGCAGTGAGTGAGCTGAGACCCCTTGTCTGAGTGTCTGCGTCACACGTGTCTTCCCGGGCTCTCCACGCCTCAGGACACGGATGTTACTATATTATTATAAATATCATTTGTTTATTATATAACATAACTATAAATGCTCACTTTTCACCTCTCGGGTGTTTCGGATA